CATCTGGAGGTACAGCTGGACTTCTAAGCTCCCTCAGGTCACTGGAAGACTTCACTTCCTTATGGTTGTAGACTGAGGTGTCTTCTTGCCAGAATCCAGCTGGAGGCCATTTCATCTCCCAGGGGACACTTGCTGGTTCTGGCCATATCTCTGTGTCCACAGTTTGGTCACTTGCTTCTCCAAGGTCAACAAGGGGAGCATTTGCTGTAGCTTCCAATCTCTATTTTGTATGATTTTGTCTTGGAGCTTTAGACCCTTTTTAAAAAGGGTTCACTTGCAGGCCCAGCACACTCAAGGGGAGAGAACTGTACAGGGCCTACACCCCAAAAGATGGGAATCATGGGGACCATTTTAGAATTATGCCTATGGCATTCATAAATCCCATGATTATTACTGAGCTGTGAGGTCAGAGATCTCTACAGAAGTTTCACCAGATGAAGTCTAAAAGGTGGTCACAAGGCTCTTCTCTTCTGAAACATCCAAATTCATCTTGTCCGAGATTATGTCCCACCCCTTAGTAGTCTTCTCCACAGAGAGTACAATGGAAATATTCAAAAGAGTAATTTTTTTTCTCGCCAAAGGCCTAATTCTTCATATCACAATCTCTTTCAAGCTGCCTGATTTATTAAAGTTCTTTCTTCTTGGTTGAAAGTTAATTTATTCTCATTTGCAGAAGAAATACAGAGAGGGTTTGTCTAAGAAGGTCCCTCCCAGGAACATAGGGGACAAGAAATATGCAGGGAAGGGGCCCAGAAAGCAGTGTGTTGTGGGATCACAGACCCCAGTCTGAGCCAGCCTAGAAGGTTGGTGCAGCAGTGGGGCCTCTCTTAACAAACAAGGGAGAAGGGGTGGGGTTGTGAGCCTCTGCTCTCTGGAACAGTCTTTCTTTCAGTCCCCAGCTCATTGCCTCCATGGTTTTCTGAATACCTTAAAGAAAATGTATGGGTGCAAGAGCCTGGAATTCAACAGCTCATAACTACAATTAACCACCATTAATTAATGGCTGCAAGATAAATGGGCCATGCGATTCGTTTATCCCTGGGTTGGAAGTATTTAAATTCACAGTGGGATGCAAGCCTGTTTTTCATCAATGTAAATTTAAAACAAGTTTGAGTCGGGGCTGCATGCTGCAGGAGGCAGAATACAATTTCCTCTCTGTGTAGTTCACAGTTTAGGTCAATGAAATGGCAGGAGGACTACAGAAGCAAAGAATTCCCATGCACAACAGAATTAGAGAGTAAAGATTAGTATTCAAACACATGACTTCCTGGAGTCAGGGGAATTATTATGTAATGAGACTGACTTTGCACCAGGTATTGTGCTAGGAAACATACAAGGAGTATTTGTTCTTAATTTTCACCGTACCTTTACAGGTACATTATTATCCCCATTTTATTTTATTTTATTTTATTTATTTTTTTGAGATGGAATTTCGCTCTTGTTACCTGGGCTGGAGTGCTATGGCACGATCTTGGCTCACCGCAATCTCTGCCTCCTGGGTTCAAGCAATTCTACTGCCTCAGCCTCCTAAGTAGCTGAGACTACAGGCATGCACCACCAGGCCCAGCAAATTTTTGTATTTTTAGTAGAGACGGGATTTCACCTTGTTGACCAGGATGGTCTCGATCTCTTGGCCTCGTGATCCACCCACCTCGGCCGCCCAAAGTGCTGGGATTATAGGCATGAGCCACAGCGCCTGGCCTATCCCCATTTAAAACTCAAGACAACCGACAATCAGAGGGGTTAAGAATTTTTGTAGAAACAAACTTGGGCTTTCTTACTCCTAGACTTCTTCCAGAATGCGCCCAAGGCGTGCCTTTGGGTGTCCTTACTCCCGATTTTTAAATATCCCCTATGGCCTTTGTCCTTGTACATGAAAACTTTCCAAATAGTAACTAAATATTATCCTATTCCCTACATTTTCAAACCATCAACTGGACATCAATAAGATTCAGAAGATAAGAAAACAGGCAAAGGAAAAACATTAATATTGATAAAAAACAAAATTAAATAGGAGTCTTCTCCACAATATGTTTATTAAATAAAAAGAAATAAAATACTACTGTAGAATCCTAACTAGTTAGTCATCTTCACAAAGTGGTCCAAAGTCAACATCACCAGTGATAGGATATGTTAATGTCATGCACCTCCTGATTAAAAAAAGGGCCAAAACTTCAGTGGTATGCATGCCAAAAATGCCTAACCTCAACAATCTAATCAGGAAGGGGAAAAATCAGATAAGCCCAAGTTAAAGGGCATTCTACAAAATCACCAAGCAATACGTTTCAAAAGTGTCAGGTTATGAAGGCAAGGAAAGACTAAGAAATCATTAAAGATTGGAGGAGCCCAAAGAGATACAACAAGTAAATGCAATGTGGGGTCCTGGACTGGATCCTGGAATAGATAAAGAATGTAAGTTAAAAAAAAAAAAACTGCTGAAATTCAAATAAGGTCTGTAGTTTAGTTACATTACAATACAATACAATACAATTATTGTGCTATACGAACTGTGTTTAGTCTGTCTTGTGTTGCTATAACAGAATACCTGAGACTGCATCATTTATAAAGACTAGAGGTTTGACACATGATTCTGGTAGCTGAAAAGTCCATTGAAAAGCTGCATCTGGGCGGGTGCCTCAGGCTGCTTCCACTCAAGGTGGAAAGCAGAAGGAGAGTAGATGTGTGCAGAGGCAACATGTTGAGAGAGGAAGCAAGACAGCAAAACTGAGGAAGCCAGGCTGTTTATATAACCTATACTCTCAGGAACAAACTCACTTCTGCAAGACTGAGAACTCATTCACCCAGGTTGTAGGGATCTATCCCTGAGGAATCTACACCAATAATCCAAATACCTCTCATTAGGCCCCACCATCCAATACTGCCATATTGGGCAATAATTTTCAATTTTGATCAATTTTTAAGCTTTCCAGGAAGAAACAAAACCAAAGAAGACGGTATTATACCAAAGTTAATTTTCTGGTTTTGATCTATTGTACTATAATTACTCAACATGAGGAGTACTATAATTATATCAACATGAGGAGTAGCTGAGTAAAGGGTACACGGAAACTCTACCATTTTTGCAACATATTTCCAAAGGTAAATATTGTCAAAAGTGAAATGGCAACTTGAAACAAAATTTTAAATCATGATCAACTTGAAATTTTTCTTAAAAATTTCTATCTTTATGCATAGGTGTGAAGAAACTACTCTATTTGTAAAATATTTTATTCAGCTAAATTTGCTGTAAGATCAAAATGAAATATGTTCTATAGATTCAAAAAATAGTTCGAAATAAATGTAAATTCTGTTTGAGAACTGCTGCTTCTGGGAGCAGCACAGATTTGGTAAATAATGCATGTTCCTGTCCATTGTTACATGGCACTCACGTGGTGATGTTCTGCTTGGAAGCAAGCCATTATAGGATCAGAGAGAGGAGAGAAAACAATATGCTACGTATAAACACTTCTAACATGGGAAAGAAGAAATTGAAGAAAAAGATAGTCTGAGATCTCTGCTATGAGAGATAGAATTTGCACACTTTACTGTCTAATTAGGCAACTCTTTCAAATGGCATTTAAAAATTATTCTTTAAGTTCAGGGATACATGTGCAGAGCATGCAGATTTGGTATGTAGGTATAAACGTGCCATGGTGGTTTGCTGCAAACATCAACCTGTCATCTACATTAGATATTTCTCATTCGGGAGCATAAATGACCTGGAGAAAGGTAATAATTCCTAGGTATCATATTTCAGAATTCCTAAATAGGCATTCTTTCATCTACCATGCATTATGGCAATAAACAGACTGCTTTAAGTATCATTCTCATCTGTAAAGTGAGGATAACAGTAATTTACTACATAGGGTTTGTATAAGGATCAAATGAGTTAATAAATGTCAAGCCATTAGTAGAGTACCTGGCACATAAAATGATCAATATTTTCTACTATAATTAACATTAAATCAGCAGTAACTTCTGGTTGAACATTTATCTGATAAATTGTGTCTAAAACTCAACTTCTATTAAAGGTTTTAGGACTCCTTAGATATAGGTTATTATACATATTACACCTCTACCCTCCTTTTTAAGCTTTATTGGCCTTTAGCTGAATCTATATTAAGATACTTGATTGATATTCTCAGTCTATTACATTTTGGCTGACTCTATCTTGGGAACGATAAATACCTTTTGGCTTTTAATATAGTATATTCTTATAAATTCTTTGCTTTCCAGATTAGGACATATTTGACATTGGAAGTAAATGAGGCATGAATCCATTGGGCTTATGTATTTCTGCCAATATTGAAATCTGCTCCTGATTTCTCAAAAGAAGAAAATAAATACCTCAAATGTCCTGAGTAATATATAAACCAGGTCATTTCCTTCAAAGGCCTTTCTTTTGGGAGAAAAATATCTTTATACTTTTGGTTGTTAAGAAAGAAAAAAAGTGTGGAGATTAACTTCATATGGGAATTTAGGGTATGAATATCCTGATTAATTATTAAACCATGACTATAGTAAGCCTTTGTTTATTAAAAAGAAGTCCCCAGGATAATAGCTGTAGATACTTATTGCAAACATTCAACAAATGTTTCAAATGAATTTTCTGGCAAATACTGTCTTTACCTCCTCAGGTATCCACAGCCAGGCCTCCATAACCTTGGGTTCCACATTCATAGATTTAACCAACTGAAGATTTAATACATAATTAATATTTTTAACACAAAAATATTTTTAAAAAAAGGAATAACAGCAATACAACAACAACAAAATTCAGTATATCAGCCATTTATACAGCTTACATTGTCTTAGACATTATAAGTAACCTAAAGATAGTTTTAAGTGTTCAGAAGGATGTGCATTGGCTATATGCAAATACTATGCTATTTTCTAAAAGGTACTTAAGCATCTCTAGATTTTAGAAGGCATAGGAGGCCCAGGAACCAATCCTCAGTGAATACTGAAGGATTAATGTAGTCTCTTTTTTTTTTTTAAAGGAATATCCCAGATGGCTGATAGACACAGTGAGAAGGAACATCTGTTACTGAGAAATTAGGACATCAGGAAGACTGGCACACTCTGACTAGAACTTCAGAGGGAAGGCTTTGTGAATGGATGGTGAGAGGACACAGATATCTGGTTGAAGGGGGAGGAAGCTGGGAACCCTGCACAGGGCTACTGAGCACTGGGAAATATTCCTGGCCCCCAGAAACTTCTGGGGGAAAAGTGAGTGCAACAGGAAAGGAGTGGCCCACTCTTACCATGAACTTCTGGCATCTTGGTAGTAGGAGACCCCATAACCCCCATGGACACTTGAGCTGACAGAGAGCTGCTTAAAGAGGTGCTAGAGACAGGACTTCATCCTATGTAGAGCCCAGAGAGTTTAGTATGGGAACATATGCAGTTGAGCACGGCCAGGAAGATGCATCCCCCAAGGCTCACCATGTTCCTGTAGGAGACATTAGCCTTGGGTTGGCTGTTGGACTCAGACAGAGCAGGGAGGTCTTGCCCATGAGATGAGGCAAGTTCTATCTGAACACAGTTATGTCTGCTTGCCTCTCGCAGGGCCCCAGCCTGTCCATGCCCACTTGCCATGCAGCCTCAGATGCTCAACCTGAGTGTGAAATAGGTGCCCTCATCATAGCTCCTTTACTGTCAGATCATGCCTGATGTTCAAAGAGCTCTAACAGAGGAGCCTCTGCTGACATGCACCAGTCCACCAGCACCCTCTCCCCATTGCAGCGTCCCCTGTGCCACTTTGCAGGCACACACTTGCCCATGGCCAACCACCCATTGCTGTGCTGGCATGGGTGAATGTGTAGACCTCACCTCCCTTTCCCCACCAGCATGTGTGTGTGCATGCACCCTGGCACATCACTACTGGCAGCAAAAGGAAACCCCTCATGCTCTACCACTAATGTGTAGACACGGGCCACACTGCCATTGCAAGCATGAATGTATGCATGGATGCCAGAAACCCTGGTTCTCCTTGTGCTGACACTGCCACTGACACAAACACACACATGGATGTGGGCCAGCATCCTGACTCCCCATGCTACTACTGCTGTTGCTGTGAATATGTGCATAGAGGTCAATAGCTTTACATTGGCCAGCACCCTGCCCCAGCTGCTGCCACCAGTGTGAGAGTGAGCACAGACACCAGCAACCCCATGCCTGCCACCACTCTGCCTCTCCATGCCGCTGATAGCACTGGCATGAATGCATGCAGAAATGCAGCATCCTGTTCCTGCCTGTACTCCACCCCAGCCAACATGCGTGTATCCTGCCATACTACCACAGTTGCTATACTCACAAGCAAGCATGAATCCTGCTGCCACTTCCCTGACAATATGCTTTGGCTGGCATCACCCATTGAAATGTTCTGGCTAGCAGACTGAGAACACCTCAATCCCTCTAGTGCAGTAGATTCCTAACCTTGAAAGGCCAAAGAACAAGGAAAATGGCCTGGTACCAGCCCCCCAGAGTTAGTGCATGCAGCCCAGGAGTGCTGAGCTGAGCCATGGCCCCCTAAAATCTTCCAGAATTGAAGCCAGTCAACTGAATCCACCTTATACCAAAATGAAACCCTCAAGGGCATCAAAGAAGATAAAAGGAAAGGAAACTCATCCAAAAGATACCATCTTCAAAGACTGAAGGAACATCAGTTCACACAGAAGAGAAAGAACCAGCACAAGAACTCTGGAAACCCAAGAAGTCAGAGTGTCTGCTAACCTCCAAATGACTACACAACTTCTTTAGCCATGGTTCTTAACCAGGCAGAAATGACTAAAATTGCAATGATAGTGTCCACAATGTGGACAGAAACAAAAACCACTGAGGTTCAGGAGAAATTCAAATCCTAATGCATGAAATATTCAGAATACATGAAAATGATACAGGCAATGAAAGATGAAATGATCGTTAAAAAAAAAAAAACTGAACAGAGCTGAAAAACTCACTACAAGAATTTTATGATACAATCAGAAGTATTAACAGCAGAATTGTCCAAACTGAGGAAAGAATCTCAGAATTCAAAGAATGATTTTTTGAAATAACTCAGACAATGATTTTAAAAAAGAATGAAGGATAAACAAATACTCTGAGAAATATGGGATAATGTAAGGAGACTAAATCTATGATTCACTGGTGTTCTTGAAAGAGAGTGAGGTAAAACTAGCAACCTGAAAATAACTTGAGAATATCATCCATGAAAACTACCCCAAACTTGCTAAAGAGGCCAAGATTCAAATTCAGGAAATGCAGAGGACCCCTGCAAAACACTATGCAAGATGATCACACCCAAGACACATAGTCATCAGATTTTTTAAGGTTAATGTGAAAGAAAATATGTTAAAGACACCTAGAGAAAAGTGACAAATCACCTACAAATGAAACCCCATCAGGCAGTGGACCTTTCAACAGAACCCTACAAGCCACAGGAGATTAGAGGCCTATATTCAGCATTATTAAAGAAAACAAATTCCAGACAAAAATTTCATATCCAGTCAAACTAAGCTTCATACCCAAAGGAAAAATAAGATACATTTCAGACAAAATAATGTAACTGAATTTGTTACCTACCACCACAGGAGACTTACAAGATATCATCAAGGGAGTGTTAAATATAAAAAGGAAAGACTGTTACTGGCTACCACAAAAATTCCTTATGCACATAGGGCACTGAAACTTTAAATCAATCACAGGATCAAGTCTGCATAATAGCCAGCTAACAAGATGATGACAGAATCAAATCTGCACATATCAATATTAAACTTGAATTTAAACAGGGTAAATGACCAAATTAGAAGGCACACAGTGGTAAGTTGCATGAAGAAGCAAGACCCAATTGTACACAGTCTTCAAGAGACACATCTCACATCCAATGACATGCCTAGGCACCAAGTAAAGAGATGGATAAACATCTACCAAGCAAATAAATAAAAAATCAGGGGTTGCTATTCTAATTTCAGACAAAAAGGATTATAAACCAACAATGAGTTAAAAAAACAAGGGCATTACATAAGGGTAAAGGGTTCAATTCAACAAGAAGACTGAACTTTCTTAAAAATATATGCCACTCAAGAAAGTAGCACCCAGGTTAATACAGTTAGTCCTTAGAGATCTATGTAGAGATTTAGATCATGACAAAATAATAAAGATGGGAACTCTCCACTGAGAGTATTAGATAGATTATTGGGGCAGAAAACTTACAAAGATGTTTGAGACATGAACTCAACAATTGGCCAAATGGACCTAACAGACATCTACAGAACTCTCAACCTCCAAACCAACAGAATATGCATTCTTCTCATCTGCACATGGAACGTATTCTAAAATCAACCACATAATCAGCTATAGAAAATTCTCAGCAAAGTCAAAAACAATAAAATCATGCCACCTACATTCTTGGATCACAGAGCAACACAAATAGAAGTCAATACTAAGAAAACAACTCAAAGCCATACAATTACATGGTAATTAAACAAAGAAAACCCCATAGTTTCTGCTCCAAAGCTCCCAGATCTGATAAAGAACTTCAGCAAAGTTTCAGCATACAAAATCAATTTATAAAAATTAGTAGCATTCCTATACTATATACCAATGTCAAAGCTGAGAGCCAAATCAGGAACACAATCCCATTCACAATAGCCACAAAAAGAATAATATACCTAGGAATACAATTAATGAAGGAGGTAAAAAATCTTTACTATAAGAATTATGAAACACTGCTCAAAGAAACTGAAGCTGACAAAAACAAGTAATAAAACATTCCATACTTATGGATAGGAAGAATCAGTATTGTTAACCGATTCTTCCTATCCATAGGTATGGAATGGATACCTACTGCCAAAAGCAATTTGCATATTCAATACTATTTCTAACTACTAATTATATCTTTCAGATAGTTAGATAAAACTATTTTAACATTCATATAGAACAAAAAAAAAGAGAGAGAGAGAGAGAGAGAGAGAGCTCAAAGTACAAAGTCAATTCTATGCAAAAAGAACAAAGCTAAAGGCATCATGTTACCTGGCTTCAAGCTATACTATAGAGTTACAGTAACCAAAACAGCATGGTACTGGTATAAAAACAAATACATAAATCAGTGGACCAGCATAGAGAACCCATAAATAAGACCACACAGCTACAACTAACTGAGGTTTGACAAAACTGACAAAAATGAGCAATGGGGAAAGAATTCCCTGTTCGACAAATGGTGCTAGGATAACTGGCTAGCCATATGCTGAAGATTGAACCTGAACCTATTCTTTACACTACATACATAATTAAACTGAAGATGGATAAAAGTCTTAAAAATAAGTTCAACCATTGTGGAATAAAGTGTGGTGATTCCTCAAGGACCTAGAAATAGAAATTCCATTTGACCCAGCAATGCCATTACTGGGTATCTATCCAAGGGATTATAAATCATTCTATTATAAGGACACATGCATACGTATGTTCATTGCAGCACTGTTTATAATAGCAAAGACTTGGAACCAACCCAAATGCCCATCGATGATAGACTGGACAGGGAAAATGTGACACATATACACCATGGAATACTATGCAGCCATCAAAAATGATGAGCTCGTGTCCTTTGTAGGGACGTGGATGAACCTGGAAACCATCATTCTCAGCAAACTGACCCAGGAACAGGGAATCAAGCACCGCATGTTCTCACTCATAGGCGAGTGTTGAACAACAAGAACACGTGGACACGGAGGGGAGCATCACACTGAGGTCTGTGGTGGGGGGGACTAGGGGAGGGACAGTGGGGTATAGGGAGTGGGGAGGGATAACATGGGGAGAAATGCCAAATATAGGTGATGGGGATGGAGGCAGCAATCCACATTGCCATGTATGTACCTATGAAACAATCCTGCATGTTCTTCATATGTACCCAGAACCTAAAATGCAATAATATATAATTATAATATATATAATTATAATATATATTATAAATACATTTATATATATAATATATATAATATAATATATAATAGCAAAGACTTGGAACCAACCCAAATTATATATATATATAATATATATAATATAAATGTATTTATAATATATATATATAAACTTTGGATGGAAACCTTCAACATAATAACATTCTGGACATAGGCCCTGGCAAATATTTCCTACAAAGACACCTAAAGCAATCACAACAAAAGCAAAAATTGACAAATGGGACCTAAATACATTAAAGAGCTTCTTCACAGCAAAAGTAAATATCAACAGAGTAAACAGACCACAAATAGGATGGGAGAAAATATTTGCAAACTATGCATCTGACAAAGGCCTTATATCCAGAATTTTTAAGCAAGTCAAATAAATTAACAAGCAAAAAAAAAAAAAAATTAGAAGAGGGCAAAGTTCATAAAGTGACAGTTCTCAAGAGAAGACACATACATGGTCAACAAGCATATGAAAAACTGCTCAACATCACTGATCATTAGAGAAATGCAAATCAAAACCACAATTAGATACCATCTCAGAACAGACAGAATGGTTATTATGTAAAACAATACAGATGCTGCTGAGGTTGCATAGAAAAGCACTTCAGGTGGGAATGTTAAATTAGATCTTCCATTGTGGAAAGTAGTTTGGTGATTTCTCAAAAAACTTAAGACAGAATTACCATTCAACACAGCAATCCCTGTATTGGGTATATGCCCAAAGGAATAGAAATCATTTAACAATAAAGACATATGCATGTGTATGTTCATTGCAGCACTATTCACAATAGCAGAGAAATGGAGTCAACCTAAAAACTATTAATGGTAGACTGAAGAAAGAAAATGATGTACATATACATCATAAAATACCCCACAACTCTAAAGAATAACCAGATTAAATCATTTGCAGCCACACAGATGGCACTGAAGGAAGTAATACAGGAAGTGACACAGAAACAGAAAACCAAATACTACATGTTCTCACTTTGAAGTGGGAGCTAAACATTGATTAAACATGGACATGATGAAGGGAAAAATAAACACCAAGGCCTACTTCAGGGTAGAGGGTGGGAGGAGGGCGAAGAATGAAAAATTACCTACAGTGTACTATCCTTATTATCTAGGTGATTAAATAATGTGTATAACAAATCTCTATGACATGCAATTGTCCATATAATACCTGTAATTTTGAACCTAAAATAAAAGTTATAAATAAATATGAAAAGTCGGGTGAGGAGATAGATTGCCAGTTTCAATCTTGCCTCACTGTTTTGCAGTCTTTTTCCCAGTTGAGAAATGGGCATCATGACAGTATTATAGTTTTGTTGTGAGGATTAAGTGAGTTAATACAGGTGTAGCTTACTGTATTGTGCTACACCTTATTGCACTTCTCCGATATACATATTTACAAATTTAACGTTTGTGGCAACCCTTCCCTGAGAAATTCTTTCAGAGCCATTTTTCCTAAGTGAGCTGTGCTCACTTCGTGTCTCTATGTCATATTTTTTGTAATTCTTGAGATATTTCTAAACTTATTAGTATTATTGTATCTGATTATTATTATATGTATTAAGATGGTCTGTGATCAGTGATCTTTGATGTATACCACTAACTGCACCCCAAAATAATGGTGAACTTAATTGATGATTGTGGTGTGTGTTCTGACCGTTTTACTGGCCAGGTGTTACCTTGTCTCTCTCCCTCTACTTGGGCCTCCCTATTCACCGGGACAGAACAACATGCAAATTAGGCCAATTAATAACACTAAAATGGACTTAAAGTGTTCAACCCTTTCACTTTAAATCAAAAGTCCAAAATGTTTAAACTTAGGAAAAAGGCTTGCCAAAAGATAAGACAGGTCAAAAGCTAGGGCTCTTCTGCGGGTTAGCCAAATTGTGAATACAAAGGAAAAGTTCTTGAAGAAAATTAAAAGTGTTACTCCAGTGAACACACCAATGATAAGACGAATAAGAAGATGTATTTCTGATATGGAGAAAGTCTGAATGATCTGGATAGATCAAAGGAGCCACATCATTACCTTAAACTGAAATCTAGGTGGGGGAGGGGAGTAAAGAAAAAACAAAAACTGAACCCTAACCCAGAGCAAGGCCCCAACCCTTAATTCAATGAAGACAGAGAAGTGAGGAAGCAGCAGGTAAAAAGTTTGAATTTTGCAGAGGTTGTTTCAGTGAAATTTAAGGAATGAAGCCATCTTCATAACATAAAAGTGCAAGGTAAAGCATCAAGTTCTGAGGAAGAAGCCGCAGCAAGCTGCAGAAGAGTGTGTTAAGTAACGAAGGTGTCTACACTAAGCGACAGATGTTCAATATAGACGAAATAGTCTTCTATTGGGAAAGAAGGTTTTTTTCCAATTGGAAAACTGCAGATATGTTGTATATAGCAAGAGAACTAGATTAGAAGTGGAGACTGAAGGTGTACCTGACTTGCTGTACTCTCATGACAAAACTTGAGCCGATGAGTTGGTTTTTATGGATCAGCAAAGAAATTGGTTTCTTGAGGTAGAATTTACTCCTGGTGAAGATGCTGTGGAACCTTGTTTGAAATGACAACAAAGGACTTAGAATGTTATATAAACTTAGCTGATAAAGTGGTGGTAGAGTTTGAGAGGACTGACTCCAAGTGTGAAAGTTCTACTGTGGGTAAAATCAAACAGCATCACATGCTACAGAGAAAACTTTCATGAAAGGAAGAGTCAATTAATGAGACAAATGTTACTGTTGTCTTATTAAAAATTTCCCCAGGAACCTCAACCTTCAGCAACCACCATGCTATTCAATCAGCAGCCATCAACACTGAGACAGAGTATCTACCAAGAAAAATATTGCAGTTTGCTGAAAGCTCAAATGATTATTACCGATTTTTAGCAATAAAGTATTTTTGTTTTTACATATACAATTTTAGGCAGAAGATAGTCTCAATAAATATATTCACAATCCTAAAATATTTTCTTAAATATTCCATTTGCAATGGAATTATTATCAGAGAAGAAGCAGTTTTTAATTTGTGACTGATACAAATATATTTACTTTAGAAATTTCAAGGAGATTGTGATAGCCATAGATAGCCAATAACATTTCTTAATAATTTCAACTTTTATTTTGGATTTGGGGATATTTGTACAGGTTTGTTACCTGAGTATATTGCATGATGCTGAGGTTTCTGCCTCTCTCATGTACTGGGGCTTTACTCACTTTTATAGGTCAAGCATTGTTAGAGGAGCTGTTTGTACACGAGCTCATCCTCAGGATTTGGGGTGTCCTTGATGACTCTGGTGTATTCCCATTTTCCTTCTTATATTAAAGCACACAGTGTTTATCTTTATATACTCTTGGTATTTTCAAGTAGCTGAGGCAAGCTAAAAGTTTCTAATGTGCCATCTTGGAAAGAAAACTAATAACATTTTAAATTATCTGTCACTTATCTGTCCATTAAACATTTAATAATTTTTAATATTTAGTTTAGATATATTTGTGATATAAAACATTTAAAACAACTCAATGTGTTGTTCAAAGCCATAAACTTATATATATTAGATTATTTAACCATGACTTTCATTACTCATATATAAAATATATAACTTCATAATATATATATAATAATTACATAAATTAAAATTTCACTGTATTATTTTATATATTTGTTACAAAATTTAGACTAGGTCCTCGATTTTACATTTACAATACTCATTAGATATTGAGTGTGGAAGTTTTATTTTCCTCAGTTAGATATTCAGAATTACCACATTTATTTATTTCTCATGGCATCTTTTAGCAAACCCAAGCTATGGGTCATGTAAAACAGGAAAAGTATTTTTAATAAAAAACACCATTACAAAACTTTACTTTATTAGCAATGTATTTCCTGATATATCTTACATTTTAATTTCATACTTGTCTCTCCTATGTCTCAATTTTCATTTCATTTCCAAATATCCAACTATGGGGTCTATCAATCAAGATCAATTTTTAGTAGTGATTTATATTGTACCTACAATACAAATAATTTGAAAAGTAATGCATTTTTGCTAAGTGAGAAATTTGCAGAAAGTTGAATAATTACAGTTACCACTAAACCAGTGGCATAAACCATGAAGGAAAATTCTTTTTTTTTTTTTTTTAATTTGTTGGGAATGTAATATACTCTCAAATCAATTGATAGGGGAAAATAGAGCAGATATGGTTTTATTTTATGCTTGTTCTTTCCATAAATCCCAACCCTAGCTTTCTTCCAGGCTTAAAGATACACAGGGAGGATGATCTATGATAGTTAAAGAAGAGATGAAAGAAATGGTTCTATGAATAGGTTAACTTAGACTCAACCTCAGAAATATAACTATGTACTCAAAGATGAAAGTAGAATTTCTTTCTATTCTTCGTATCTCCTTCCTTATCTATGATCGCCTTAAGCACTAAGTCCAGATGATGTGTGTCCTGTAATGATGTTGTTTACAGTACATAAATTTAGTTTGCTACGAATGTTTTTTTCATACTAGATTATATATTCAAATTGCAATGATGCTCTTTCTTGAGATAAATGTGTTCCAGTAAAGCATACATTTTACATTTCAAAACTGATTTTAGAGAATTTTGAGAGTCTTGCAATTTATATGACACTGCATTAAACAGGATTTTTGGGTAATTCAAATTGCTGGGTTAACATAACTAGCATGTAATACATTGTTCTTTGAAGAACATTTCTATGTATTTATTGTTTTATCAGATCCTCATAACTGCCCTATGGAAAATAAAAATTTTAGTATCTAA